CCCAGCCCCGGCCCGGCCAGCCCGCCCCCAATCACACAGCCCAGCCCCCGCCCCGGCCCGGCCAGCCCCTGATCACACAGCCCAGCCCCCGCCCCGGCCCGGCCAGCCCCCGATCACACAGCCCAGCCCCAGCGAGCCAGCCCCCGATCACACAGCCCAGCCCCAGCCCCGGCCCGGCGAGCCAGCCCCCGATCACGCAGCCCAGCCCCGGATCACGCAGCCCAGCCCTAGCTGCTCTACTGGGAGTATTTACCAGACACCATGGGGTAGCTGGGAGCCAGAGGCTACAGTCCTTTTAAACCAACCACACTAGAAAGGAGTGGGGTCTACGCTACACGGATGGCGGAGTCCCTGTAATAGGCTCAGGCCGTCCTCATCCCACCAGCCATGACATACACTGAGCTGTGTCCATCCAGCAGCAATCCCAATAGCACCTCAGCAGGGACCAGCCAAACGGCACGCGGAACGGCATCAGCAGCCCGTGGAGCGGGCAGCAAGGGCAGTTACACAGGCGTGGCTAGGGGGTCCCAGCCAAACAGCAGAGCAGCACCAGGACACAGGTCTGGGGAAGTCTCCATGGGCTGCCTTGCTGAGAGATACCCGCAGACAGCCCCACCTAGGGCTTCCCATAATTACTGGGGCCCGAGACAGCAGGGCACAGAGCCAGTCTCCAGGGAACAGTCAGGGGGACGCTGGTTCACATAATACGCTAACTTTAAGGTAGGCTCCTACAGCAACCCAGACGCCCCCATTATCCCGATGTATTCTGTGGCCAGCCCGGAGCACTGGCGGCCACAAGTGCTCTGGGGCTCCCCTGGTAAGAACGGATGGGAGAAGTGAGCTCCAGAATCTCTGCTTCCTTAGACAGACACACAGAGACACTGACACTCTTCTAGACCTCATAGTTGTGGTGAAACGCTGGACAACATGAACCAAGCATAAATGGACATAGAGATGCCTGCCTGAGTCTGCAGAAAGCCTAAAACAACGACTCGGAAGTACAAACCACCCCGTTATTAATGGGGTGTTAACTCTGAAACCTAAGGATGGCAACTTGTGCCACACTGAAAACTGAAATTTTGGAGACAGCATAAAATAAACAAAGTCAGAATAAAACAACAGAGGCTCTGGCAGGGACTTCATTATTAACTCAATACCTCCCTCCCCTCCGGGGATATGAAGCTTCTGCAGAACTTCCACCAGAGGCTGCAGAACCCAGGGACCTTGCCCAGGATTTCGAGGCAGTTGGCACAAGGCACACAAGGCCTTGCAAGTCACATGCTTCTGCTGTGAAGCTAGAGGTAAAGGGCAGCCCAGGGCTCGTGTGGGAGCCCTCGCACAGGATCAGTTGACGTGTAACACCCAGTCCTCTGGGAACAATTGGCAGGGAGTGAGGAATGGGGGTGCCCATGCTCTGATAACGGGGCTCTCCCTGATCAAAACAGAAGCTGCCCCCTGACTCCAGCCTCCGAATGGTGCCCGAATAGTCCCTGCTTTCCAGAGGCCCTCTGGGGGTGGTCTCCCCCAGCCCGGAGTCAGCAGGATTCAGAGGCAACTTGGTAACCCAAGCGCCATGCTAGTCACAAGTGGACAAATGGGGAAAACGTGCACAATGAGCCAGGAGAGAGCCATTCTCTCACACACAGACACAGACGACATTTCCTCACCAATCCTCTAGCCAAGTAGTAATGGACAAAATGCTTCCAGTTGATTTCTCTGCCAGGATCTTGCCAAAAAAAATAGAGGAATCCCACGGCAGCGCCTGCCCCCATGACAACCAGGTAGCAGAAGTTCTTGTCATCCCAGGGGAACTCTCCCTGGGGTGGGAGAAAAGGAAAAGAATGCTACAAGTCAGCAGCCTGATTCCAACCGGGAAATAAACATCCAACATTCAGCATTAGCCTGGGAGCAACCGCCAGTTCCTTGCTGCCCCCTGCCCTGACGGCCAGCCCTGCAGTGCTACTGAACGATTCAGTGCAGGCTGCTGGCACAGCAGGTTTGAAAGGGGTGCAGGACTGCTCCAATTGCGAAGAAACAGCCAGTGCATCTGTGCCGCAGCCCCACCCTGATCTCCGAGCGCGGCGCCTGTGTCTACACGGAGTGCTCACACGTAGAGTGGGGAGCCTAGTGCGTCAGACTGAAGTCAATACCTGCACTTGTGCAGCTGGGCCTGGGCCCCCAGACTCTGCCTGAGAAGGGGCATGCTGGCAGCCCGCTGAGAGCCTGGGCACTGATCTGCCATACTGCCCAACCAAACGCCAACCATTTGCACCTTGAACACGGAGGTGTGGCCTGCCGAGTACAGGCCCCAGCATGCCTTGGCCACTCGGACCAAGGAGGAACACACAATCTTCACTAGCCACACCTCTGGCTCTGGGCTGCATTCAGCCCGCAGCCACCTGTGTGTCACGTGGCTTATTCATGCCTCCCTTCCAAGGTAGCCCCTTGCCCCACCCTCTCACAGAGCTAATGTTAATCCCGAAAGAAAAACTATCCCTAGATCCTGGCAAGCAGAGCTCCTTCCAACAGAGAAATTCTGCAGCGTTTGTAGTTACTTTTGGCAAAAAGCAAAAGGGTTTGTAATCCTCACAAGAAACCCCAATGACTCGGAAATAAGGAAGCTGATGCAATTAGTGACTTATGTCACTTATCTAACTACAGCACTGTCATTAAAATACCCACGTATTACCGACAGGAAATGACCAGTTCAGATCATTCATATAAATATTCTATCAATTCACCACTATCCTGAGGGGAAAGTTCACCCTACACATTCCAACCACCACCTTCGCCCTGCCCTACAGGACAGCTAACAGACTCTTGCAATCCAGATGTCCCACACTTGTGAGTCTGGGCTGTGGGCCAGCACTAAGGTTCTCCCTGGCATTTGTAGAGTTTTCACAGGAATATTGTTCTTAGCCAAGGTCACATTTCCTGGCATCGCTCATTTCCTGTCTCTTCAGTGCTTGGGTATTTCCAGTGGCAATGCTATAGGTAGGCATGGTACGTAAGGGTTATGTGGCTATTTCAGCTTCCTTAACCCTGAGTTAATTAAGTTTGCGTATAGGAATTGTCTAGTTTTTAAAAATCAAACCAACACAAGGAGCAGGGAGTCTGATGGGCAGGAAAGCCTTTACGTGCTGAGCACTGCTGGCCCAATTCTTCCCTGAGCTGGTGCTGAGCCCAGTGCAGGGCAGACAAGGGGACCCATGTACCCTCCTAACCCTCAGAGGCTGCCCTAACTTGTGCCTTGGCTGGAACTGCCTTTTGCTGCCAGCAAGGCCCACTGAGTTAGCTGGGCAATGGAACACCCCAGCCACGTGCCCTCCTCCCCTCACACCAGGCGATCCTCTGCACTTGCCGGGGAGACCACCCTATGCTGTAGGTATTGTCCGGGTGTGCGTGCATGCGTGGTGGTGGGGGGGGAGGGGGCTGGCTCACAGCTCCTTCACATCCCCTTGGTGCTGACCCAGCTGGAGCAAGCACACACTGCACTACACGGGGGAACACATTCTCTCTGCATGGCTAGCAGCTTGGTGCCCCAGGCAACTTGTGCGGGTGGGCACACGAAGACTGCTGGGGTGCCAGGCTCGAGCTCTGCTGGAGCCTTGCAAGTCTCAGAAAGCTGGCGCGCCGCTGCAGCCCTGTATGGGCTTTGCTGTGGAATATTATATCCACGGCTTGCGATCGATTTTGTATTCCCATGGCTGCTGCTGGGGCACAAACAGAAACATTTCTGACACAGGATCCAAACTGAAGGTTACGGCGAGTGACTGTGGTGAACATTAAGCTGGAGCGATCTGAAGGAAGAGCCAGACAGCAGATTTACACTGCAAACAGGGAGCCACTTGAACTACTAAACTAATAAAGAGATTTACGTGCGACTTTCCAGACAATTCAGTCTGCCCTGCAAGAGACAGGGTGATGAACCTGTGAGGACTGAGACTGATTTTTGGAACGAACAAAGGGACATAATCCTCCTGGAACCTTAATTATCACTGCCCCTATAACAGAGCTACAGACCTTCCACACGCGCCTCCACCACCCAGAATCCTCCTTCTTCCCTCCTCTCTTGCCACCACCTCCTCCGCCATTTCCCCCGTGACCGAGATCTTTTGGATCAGGGAGGCCTAGGGAAAAGAAAGGTACATTAAGACAGACAACTGGCTTTGAAGAGAGCCCAATTTCCCCATCCCATTCACACGCCGAACAGCCAGCCCATTTATTAAATAAGCCAGCCCTGTTTGGAAGGTCTAATTAAAAAATATTTAAAAAGAGGTAGACAGGGCAAGCGAGATAAAGCCAATTGTACTCAGAATCCTACAGCGCAACGGGGATTTTACAGATCTGAATTGAGGTGGGCAGGACTAGAAGAGCAGAGAGAGTTGGGTGTCATGACAAGGGTTGAATTCTCAGAGTAGTGGTGGTGGGGAAACGTACTGACTCATGGTCATGAGGGTATTTTAGGCACACACATGCACACTGTAGCAATCGCTATCCAGCCCCTCACTAACACTCTCCCACTCCTGAGCATCTTTATAAAACCTAAGGACCAGCCCTGGAGGATTTGGGACTGTTTACCTTTAGTCAGGTGAGCATCCTCTGCTGGGCCGGGACTTTTTCCATTCTTCTTAAAATACTTCTCAAAGCCTTAGAGAGAAAGTGATTGTGTTTTGGTTATTTAAAGGTACAGTGACACTGGACTGACACTGTGCAGTCAAAGAGTCCCCTCTGTTTATAGGGGAAAGATTCTGGGCAAACCAGGAAGATGCTAAACCAAAACCAAAAGGTCAGGGGAAATGATTTTGATGACAGCCTTTTGAACGGACCGCAGGGGGCAGATTAGTATCTACAAGACTGGAGAGAAGGAGGTTACAACAGTCAATACCAGATATTATTAGAGCATGTAGCTTTACATTTATTTACCAAACAGCATTGTCCAAGAAAGATCTCTGCTTCTAGGATCTAACTTGGACAGATCGATCTACGGGAAGGAAGAAACACCTGCTAGCTAGTATGTTGCTGCCTCTGTAGAGGGAAGGTCCCTGCGCAGAGGAATGCCTTGCATAGCACTCTTTGAAAGTCTACAGACAAACATATCCTGATCTCTAGGGGGGAATCCCCCCATTCTCTGGCTCAAAGGCTGGAATGCAGACTAAGCCAGAAGAGGGACTCGCTCAGCTCACGTTGGTTACCTTCTACTATCCCACTGCAAAGGGGAGTTCTGGAGAAAAGGTGCCCCAACATTCAGGTTTTAACTCGGACTTCCTGAGGTGGATTGAATCTGCCTGAGGTGATTCTGTGGGGATATAAATCAGGGCAGCAGGCGAGAACCTTGCAACACAACACTTATCAAAGGGCCAGGAGCAGCCTGAATCTAGGCAGTTGCAGAAAGTGAGTTACAGTGAGGTTTGGGCCCTGCCCCTGCCCGAGTCTCCCTGCCAATTTGTCTGGATTTATAGCCACACGAACCTCAGCTGTTACCCGAAACACATATTAAAACCCCACCCTTAAACAGAAGTGTGATTTTTAAGCTGATGGCATCCCTTTAACATCACTAGGGGCTATTATTATTATTAATGGGCCCAGGGCCTGCCAAGTGATGTACATTATTAGGTGTATTATGGTAGCACCTGGGAGCCCCAGACACGGCCCAGGACCCATGGTGCCAGACGAGGTACAAACACAGAATAAAAAAAATCGATCCCTGCCCCAAGGAATTCAAACAGATCTCTGCTCCCCATTGTTTTCGCCCTGCAGCAGCAGCCCACCCTCCCTGCGCAGGGTTGTTCTGCAATCCATTCCCAAGCCCCTTTCACTCGGGGCCTGCATTCGCGCCCGTCTTGTTTAACGTCTAGATCCCTCTGCCAACCACAGCTACCCCAAGAAAGCTAGTAGAAGCAAAAGGCCCTACTAGTAGCCTTGCTGGAGACACATACCTTTGGGTGGTTTTGAGCAGAGCCATTGCCAAGCGGATGCTATGCTCCCTGGATAGCCCTGCTGCGGAGTGCGGATCCCCTTGAGCCACTAGAACAGTAAAGAGTAGTCTCACGTACACCACTGACACAGGACTGAACTGGCTCTCGGGGGGCTGGAATGATCAGAGCGCTGCTGTGCTCCAATTACCTTCTGGGACCGCAGGCAGCCCACGCGTAAACTAGAGCAGCTCTGGGGCTGCTCTAATTGACAGGAGGAGCCATGCAGTCCCAGCACGCCAGGAGGCACAAAGCAACCTTCGGCCCGGCCTCCCCAGTCCTGCGCGCAGAGCTCCTCAGCTGGACCCCGACGTAGCCCCTAGGTGCCGGCTCGGGCAGGGCCCAGGAGACCTGGCGCCGAGCTAGGCCTCTGCCTCAGTGCCCGGGCAGCCAGGGTGGGGCGGCAGAGGACGGGCCTGGTGTCCATGGAGCCAGCGCTGGCTGTGGGGGATGGGGGGCGCCAGCCCTGGGCGGCTCCGTGGGCAGCTGGAGAACTCGGAGCATCATGGGAGGGTGAGCAGGAAACGGCCTGGCCCTGCCCCTCAGAGCACCGGGGGGGGAGGGGCGCACAGGGCGCAAGGGGCGGGGCTTTCACACCGTTCACGGCTGTGCGCTCCTCCCACCCGTCCTAACAACCAGACCACGCCCCCTGAATAGCGCGTCTCTCCAGCCATAGGGACGTCATGACCGCGTCCAGCGCGCGCCGATGACGTCATCAAGGCGACGGTTTGCCCCCTTGTAGTGGCATACGGAGCCGTACATTTTACGACAATGCCGGAAAATAAACAGTCACCTCTCACCTGCCGGATCGGTGCCAGGTCCCTGAGTCCAGCCGGTGTGTGCGTCCGGCAGCCCCCTCGCCATAGGGCAGCGAGGGGCGGCACCAGAGTCCCCGACGCGAGCCGATGAGCCATTCCCCACGGCTCCGCCGCGCCTTGACGCGCATGCGCAGATTTCACGCCCGCGAAGTCTGTGTGCACATGCGCCTTGCCCCTCGTCCTGGGCGGAAGCACCTGACGCCGGGACAGGAAAGGCTCCGCCGGGGTCTCAGCGAGACATTCCGGGTAGGGACGAGCGCTGGGGCCTTTGGTTCCGGGCTGCCCACGGCTCCGCGTTTCCCGTGCCCCCCGCGGGCCCTGCCCAGAGCGGCCTCCCAGCGCAGGGACAATAGGCGGTGGAGTCCAGTGTGGATCCCCCCGTCTGCACTGCAGTGGGGTGGGGGATTGCAGCCCTGGAGACGGACCCCAGCTAGTCCCCCCCCCCATGTCTGCACTGCAGTGGGGTGGGGGACCCCAGCTAGTCCCCCCCCCATGTCTGCACGGCAGTGGGGGACCCCAGCTAGTCCCCCCCCCATGTCTGCACTGCAGTGGGGTGGGGGACCCCAGCTAGTCCCCCCCCCCATGTCTGCACTGCAGTGGGGTGGGGGACCCCAGCTAGTCCCCCCCCCCATGTCTGCACTGCAGTGGGGTGGGGGATTGCAGCAGCCCTGGAGACAGACCCCAGCTATCTCCTGGAGTGCCCCCTGGCTTCCCTGCAAAGGGACAGTGTGCCAAGAACTGAGCTTTCATTTCTGCTACAACTAACAACGTAGCTGCAGGGGCCTGGGCTCACCCCAGCAGTGCATCCCCAGGGTGTGCTTGAACTGGTTGGTAGGTCACCAAACCAAGCCAAGCTATTTCCCCCCTCCCCCCGCCATCCTGGTCTGGCCAAGGCCCGAAGGGGAAGTTCTGGTAATCTGTGTCCCAGCAAATGCTGAGTCATGCTGTAGTCTTTAGTTCATTAGCAACTGAACTTTCCTTCCCAGGCTTCAGTACAACAGGTTAAGTAATGACAGACCCAGCAGCAGCATGTAACCTCAGTGAGCCGTTTGGCCTGATCCCCACCGCCCCCTCCTTCAACAAACGAGCAATGACAACACTCCATTAAAATGATCAAATACAGTGGTTTATTGAATCAATTCCATTGTACGTTAGATTCCTGTGCTACTATCCCCCATTCCTCCCCCTTGCTACAGCCACCAAGTTGTGGTGTAACCACAGGGAAACTTCCCCAGAGGTTTTGTTTTTGTCATTCACACTTTGCAAACTGCAAACTTTTGGTCCTGGTTCTGTCCTCTCTTGCTGTGCAGGTTACAGGGCAGCTGTGTCAGCTAAACAGTTTTGTTCTCATTATGAAGTGACCCCTTGACAGGAGGGCAGGCATGGCAAGGAATCAGACTGCACTGTAAGAGGGGATGTTCACAATGTAGCTAGAAACGTGCCTCCCATGCTGAACAGACAGACACACACTAGCTCTGCTTGAGCTACCTGCTAAAGATAGTAGAGTGGCCAGTGTGGCATGGCCTAGCTCAGGGGTCAGCAACCTTTGGCACCCAGCCTGCCAGGGTAAAGTCACTGGCGGGCTGGTTTGTCTATCTGGAGCATCCGCAGGCACAGAGCCCCGCAGCTCCCGCAGGTTGTGTTTTGCCATTCCTGGCCAATGGGAGCTGTGGGAAGCAGTGGCTAGCACGTCCCTCAGCCCACACTGCTTCCTGCACCCCCCGTTGGCTAGGAACAGCGAATCGTGGCCTGTGGGAGCTCCATGCCTGCGGATGCTCCAGATAAACAAACCGGCCCGGCCCACCAGCGGCTTTACCCTGATGGGCTGGGTGCCAAGGGTTGCCAGCCCCACGAGCTCAGAGCTGCAAAGAGGGCAGATGGGTTGTCCTCGCGTGGCTAGCCCATGCCACAACATTCACACAGCGATTTTTAGCCCGGTAGCTCAAGCAGAACCAGCTGTATCTGTCTAGTCGGCCTGGGAGATACACTCCCAGCTGCCATGCAGACATAGCCACTTTCCCTGTCTTTTCCCTTCCAGATAGAGGCAAGGATCATGCCATCCGTTGTGTCTTTCCCATTGGTGATTGATGCTACTCGAAGCACTCCTGAAGTTACAGACTCCGAGGGTCTGGTAACAATACACACACAGACAATGACAGTGATCTGTCTGGGGCTCAGGTGCAACGCGGCAGCTGCTGCAGTCACTCTTTCCAAGGTGCATTTCATAAAGGCCATGGAGCAGCTGGCCTAGGGGCCTAGACTGTCTCTTGCCACAGGTGCAACAGCGCTGGGTCTGATAAACGTATGGCAGTCGGGTTATACACGATACCGCCTGGAAAGTGGGAATTGCACCCTTCCCTCAGGACTGCCCTGGCTAGCACATGTGGCCACACCTGTGGCATATGCTGCTTGTCAGGCTTCTGCAAGCGTGTGGAACAGCAGGTTCAGCAAGTGCTCTTCCATGCCTAGGCTCTGGTGACTGGGCAGGGGTGTAAAACACACTTGCGCTGCTAGTCCTGCCCTCTGAACTGGGGGGTGGGGGGCCGGGAGAACGCTTTCTTCTTAAGACTTTGTCATTGCAAGATTAGGAACTAAAGTTAAAAAAACAACCACCGCCTCACTCCAGCTTCACAGCGATCCTCCCCCCTGCCTGCCTGGAGCCTGCCATCTGAATCTCTCACCCACACAGGCAAACAAAGTGTTTCTAGAAACCAAGAAAAAGTCAGGGACTTACAGGGTAAACAATGATTCTGTAGCAAGGTTTGTTATTTCTACTCAAACAGAACCAACATACACATCTGTACAGAAATTAAAGTGCTCACGCTAGTGTTCACGCATTGTTGCACACCCGCCCTGGCGGACTAGCCATTAAACATAAAACCATTAAGAGAAGGTTGAGGCAGCAGCTCACTTTTGGAGGAGCGTCCCAGACACGTGGTGGTTCGTTTTCACTAAGAGACAAGGGCCAGCTTTCTCCGGAGAGGCAGAGCTGCTGTCACGGACCCTTTCTCAAGCGCTCGCCTCTGGTCAGAGCCCAGGACGGGGACGTTTCAGCCTAGCAGGTGAAAGTTACAAACCCCCGAAAAGGGAGTTAGAGTTTAAGGGCTTAGGCCATGACAACTACACCAAACCCAGAGTAGGCAACATCCGCACTGCAAAGGGGAACCAGAGGCTGAGTTCATGCCAGTGCGAAGTGGGAGGGTTTCAATGTGTAACAGTCCTGGGGGCGGGATGCGGTCAGGGGGTAGGAGAAGTTTCATCCGAAGAGAACTACTGAGAAAGAAATGAAATGAGCAAGTGAAAACTGAGCGTGGGGGTTAACAGAAGCCCAGTAACAATCCCAGCGTTTGCGAATAGCAAACACTATGATCCAAGCGGAGGAAGAGGTCAGAGGCAGTTGGGACCTGGCAATAATGGCCCCCCACACACTACATTGGCTCAGGGGGTGGGGGTGCTACCTTTGGCCCATCTCGGTTCCCAGAGGGGTCTGACTGCCCACACCCCGTTCAGCAGAGGTGGTGTTTCCATTCCAACCCCCTTTGATTGGACTCCAGCTCTAAGCAATAGCTCAGGGCCTCTGCTGGCTTCAGCCTGCCCTTAGCACTGGGACTAGAAGCAAGTCCCTTACCCAAAGGGAGTGGAAGTGGCCCAGCAGCTGAAACACGTCCTCTGGGAAATCGGGTTACAAACAGGTAGTGTGTGTTTCACTTGCTATCCAGGGCGTTTCGTACACAGCCCCTCCCCCGGTGGTGCGAGAGCCCCACAGACCGGCTGGGGCGGAACCGACAAGAGGAAAAGCGATTAGAACAAAGCCTGCTAGTTCCCACTTCCCCTGGGACGGAGGGGCTCGGCCCTGCACAGAGCCTGCAGCCCTGCTCCCTAAGCTGTAGAAAAAGGAAGACTAAAGGGATTATGCTCATCCCGTAGCTACCCCCCCGAGCTCCATCACGGTCACTGCCCAAAACCTGCGCCCCTCCCTGGCCGGGCCCAGCAGCCTTGAGTCCTTGGTTCTGCTTGCTGAAAACCCAACGTCTGCCCTGCCGTGGGGAGGTGGGATTGCAGCATGGGGAGACGGACCCCAGCTAGCTTCTAGCCCCCCACCAGTGTATCCCAGTAACAGCAGCGGCAAGACGGGTGAGGCAAGAGGCAGTAGTGAGGGAGGGGGTGGGAGGCCCTGGTGCTCTCTCTTCCACCCAAACACCCTGCGTAAAGCAGGGGCCGGCTGGGACAGCGAGAGCCCCCCAGCAACTCCTGCCACCCCATTACACCCCCCCCCCCCCAGCACAGGAGTTCTCAGAGCTGGGTTCAGAACCTGCTGAGCTGCCTCCCAGCAACAGGCAGTGTGCTGGGCTGGTCCCAGAGCAAAGCACTCCTTCGGGCCTGTGCGACATCTCGCTCCCTGGCCCAGGGTCTGCCCCCGGTGGCGGCTAGTTCAGATCTTGCAGCCCCAGCGCTGCAGCCGCGCCCCTCTGGAACGCCCAGTTCTCTCCAATGTTCTTTGGTGCCAAGGTTGGGGGGGGCACTGGGGGACCCTAGGCCTGCTCCTCCGCACTGGGGCCTCGGAAGAGCGACTGCTTCCTCAGGCTGAGCCGGGCACACCTGGGGCACGTCGTTGAGTTGTCATAGTAGCAGTCCCTGGAAGCGAGGAGGAGGAAGGTTACTCCCATTGGCCCTGCCGTCAGGAGCGTGGGGCTCAGGCCAGCCCTGCAGCCTCGCCGGGCGCTTCTGCTGGCAAGGAGCTGCATGCCCCCTAGAATTCACAGCCAGTGCCCCCCCAGCTCTGGGAGCCACCCGCAGTGCCCTTACAGAGAGCGTGGCTGCAGCTGCACATGAGCCAGCAGACAGGTGCAGACCCACAGGAGAGGGCAGCATGCCAGAGAGCAAGCCAGCTCCTCCAGGCAGCCCAGCCCAGCCCCATCCCACCCCAGCACTGGAGAGGTCCAAGGTGCCACACTCGGGACCTGCTTCACCCAACTGCACGTGAACAGACTGGCCAGCCACGGTCACCGCTGAGCCAAGTGCACGGGCAGCATCCCAGGCACTGCCCAGCAGAGAGCAGGATCTCAGCCAGCAGCTTCACCTCCCCAGGGGCCAGT